CATTGGAACCCCCCCCCCTTTGGGGGTCCCAAAGACCCCCATTGCCCCCCAAAGCCCCCCCCATTGTGCCCCATAACCTACCCCAGATTGCGCCCATAGCTCCCCATTGCTCATAGCTTACCATTGCGCCCATTGTGCCCCATAGCTCCCCCATTGCGCCCCATTGCTCCCCATAGCTCCCCCCATTGCGCCCCATTGTGCCCCATAGCTCACCCATTGCGCCCCATTGCGCCCCATTGTGCCCCATAGCTCCCCCCATTGCGCCCCATAGCTTCCCCCATTGCGCCCCATTGCGCCCCATAGCTCCCCCCCCTTGCGCCCCATTGTGCCCACAGCACCCCCCAGTGCTCCCCATAGCTCCCCCCATTGTGCCCCATAGCTCCCCCATTGCGCCCCATTGACCCATAGCTCCCCATTGCTCCCCCCATAGCTCCCATTGCGCCCATTGTGCCCCATAGCTCCCTTCTCTCCCCCCATAGCACCCCCCATTGCGCCCCATAGCTCCCTTTACCCCATAGCTCCCTTCTCCTGCCCCATAGCTCCCCCCATAGCGCCCCACATTGACCCCTCCCCCTCCCCCCCCGCAGGTTCTCCCCGGCCGAGCGCCGCTGGACGCAGGTGCTGACGGTGGGGGAGGGGGAGGGGGGCCGGGCCCCTCCCCCGCTTCCTGCACGCGGCGGCGCCGCTGCTCGGCCCCGCCCCCTCCCTGATGGTGCTCGGGGGGGTCACGGGGGGCGGGGCCGCCGCCGACGACGCCTGGGTCCTGGAGCTGGGGGGGCTGCGGTGGAGGAGGGAGGAGGTGAGGACCCATTGGGAGCCATTGGGACCCATAGAGACCCATAGAGACCCATAGAGACCCATAGAGACCCCATAGAGAGCCATAGAGACCCATAGAGACCCCATAGAGAGCCATAGGGACCCATAGAGACCCATAGAGACCCATAGAGACACATAGGGACCCATAGAGACCCATAGAGACCCATAGAGACCCATAGAGACCCATAGAGACCCATAGAGACCCATAGAGACACATAGAGACCCCATAGAGAGCCATAGGGACCCATAGAGACACATAGAGACCCATAGGGACCCATAGGGACCCATAGGGACCCATAGAGACCCATAGAGACCCATAGAGACCCATAGAGACCCATAGAGACCCCATAGGGACCCATAGAGACCCATAGAGACCCATAGAGACCCCATAGGGACCCATAGAGACCCATAGGGACCCATTGGGACCCATAGGGACCCATAGAGACCCATAGGGACCCATAGAGAGAGACCCATAGAGACACATAGAGACCCCATAGAGACCCATAGGGACCCATAGAGACCCCATAGAGTTATAGGTCAGAGCCCCAAACCCTGCCCCATAGCAGCACTTGTGGGTCAGAGCCCCACACTTAGGGGTCCAGCCCCACACTTGGGGGTCCAGCCCCACACTTGGGGGTCAGTGCCCCACACTTTTGGATCAGAGCCCCACACTTAGCAGTCCAGCCCCACACTTAGGGGTCAGAGCCCCACACTTAGGGGTCAGAGCCCCACACTTAGGGGTCCAGCCCCACACTTGGGGGTCAGAGCCCCACACTTGTGGGTCACTGCCCCACACTTAGGGGTCCAGCCCCACACTTAGGGGTCAGAGCCCCACACTTAGGGGTCCAGCCCCACACTTGGGGGTCACTGCCCCACACTTGTGGGTCACTGCCCCACACTTAGGGGTCACTGCCCCACACTTGTGGGTCACTGCCCCACACTTAGGGGTCCAGCCCCACACTTGTGGGTCACTGCCCCACACTTGTGGGTCACTGCCCCACACTTGGGGGTCACTGCCCCACACTTAGGGGTCACTGCCCCACACTTGTGGGTCACTGCCCCATGGCGTCACTGATGGCCCCTCCCCCCCCCGCAGGGTCCCGGCCTCCCCCTCGCCGGCCACTCGCTGACGGCGCGCGGGGTCACGTGGCTGCTCCTGGTGGGCGGGGCCTCGGCCGGGGGCGGGGCCAACACCGCCCTGCGCCGCTTCCTGCTGCGGGAGCGCCGCTGGGAGGAGGTGAAGCAGCGGGGGACGCCCCCTGGCGGTGAGGAGGACCCGGAGACCCAACGCCCCCATAGAGCCCTATAGAGCCCTGTATCTGCCCTATAGATCCCTATATCTGCCCTATAGATCCCTATATCTGCCCTATAGACCCCTATATCCGCCCTATAGATCCCTATGGACCCCTATATCCGCCCTATAGATCCCTATGTCTGCCCTATAGATCCCTATATCCACCCTATAGATCCCTATGGACCCCTATGTCCGCCCTATAGACCCCTATATCTGCCCTATAGATCCCTGTATCTGCCCTATAGATCCCTATATCTGCCCTATAGATCCCTATATCTGCCCTATAGATCCCTGTATCTGCCCTATATCCCCCCTATACAGCCCTATATCCCTCCTATATGCCCCCTATCGCCCCATATATCCCCCCATAGGCCCCCATTGACCGCCATAGCCCCCCGTATCCCCCCCATAGCTCCCCCATCTCTGCCCCATAGCCATCCCATAGACCCCCCATATCTGCCCCATACCCCGCATCTCTGCCCCATATCCTCCCCATATGCCCCCTATCTCTTCCCCATCATTGCCCCATAGCCCCCATCTCTGCCCCATAGACCCATCTGTGCCCCATAGCCGCCCCATAGACCCCCCCATCTCTGCCTCATAGCCCCCATCTCTGCCCCATAGCCGCCCCATAGCCCCCATATCCCCCATCTCTGCCCCATATCCCCCATCTCTGCCCCATAGCCCCCATCTCTGTCCCATCACTGCCCTATAGACCCCCGCATCTCTGCCCCATAGCCCCCATCTCTGCCCCATAGACCCCCCCATCTCTTCCCCATACCCCCCATCTCTGCCCCATCTCTGCCCCATAGCCCCCCATGTCTGCCCCATATCCCATCTCTGCCCCATATCCCCCCATCTCTGCCCCATAGCCACCCCATAGCCCCCATCTCTGCCCCATCTCTGCCCCATAGCCCCCATCTCTGCCCCATATCCCCCCATCTCTTCCCCATACCCCCCCATCTCTGCCCTATACCCCCATCTCTGCCCCATCTCTACCCCATAGCCCCCCCATCTCTGCCCCATAGCCCCCCCATATTCCCCCATATCCCCCCACACCCCCCCATATCCCCCCATATCCCCCCCATCTCTGCCCCATAGCTGCCCCATAGCTCCCCATCTCTGCCCCATCTCTGCCCCATAGCCGCCCCATCTCTGCCCCATATCCCGCCATTTGACCCCCCATCTCTGCCCCATCTCTACCCCATAGCCCCCCCATCTCTGCCCCATAGCCCCCCCATATTCCCCCATATCCCCCCACATATCCCCCCCCATTCTGCCCCATCTCTATCCCCCCCCCCATCTCTCCCCATCTCTGCCCCATAGCCGCCCCCATCTCTGCCCCATATCCCCCCATATCCCCCGCATCTCTGCCCCATCTCTGCCCCATAGCCGCCCCATCTCTGCCCCATATCCCCCCATATCACCCCCCATCTCTGCCCCATCTCTGCCCCATATCCCCCCCATATCCCCCCCATATCCCCCCCATATCCCCCCCATATCCCCCCCATATCCCCCCATATCCCCCCATTGCCCCCCCCATCACCCCCCATAGCTGCCCCATAGCCCCACCCCCCCTCTCCCGCAGCCCTCCTGGGTCACTCCGCTCTCTACCACCCCCCATTGGACGCCCTCTTCGTGTGGGGCGGGCAGCGCCCGGCAGGGGGCGCCTCGGACCAACTCCATTGGCTGCGCTGCGCCACGGTCACGTGGGCGCGATTGGCCCCCGCCCGCGGGCCCAGGGTGAGCGGCGGCCAATGGGAGGGCAGCGGGGCGGGGCTTGAGGGGGGGAGAGGGGGGGCGCTATGGGGCAATATGGGGGCTCTATGGGGCGCTATGGGGCTCTGTGGGGTCTCTATGGGGGCTCTATGGGGTCTCTATGGGGCTCTGTGGGGTCTCTATGGGTCTCTATGGGGTCTCTATGGGTCTCTATGGGGTCTCTATGGGGTTTCTATGGGGCTCTATGGGTCTCTATGGGGCTCTATGGGTCTCTATGGGTCTCTATGGGTCTCTGTGGGGTCTCTATGGGGTCTCTATGGGGCTCTATGGGGGCTCTGTTTGGTTTCTATGGGGTTTCTATGGGTCTCTATGGGTCTCTATTGGGTTTCTATGGGTCTCTATGGGTCTCTATGGGGTGTCTATGGGGCTCTGTGGGGAGCTATGGGGTCTCTATGGGGGCTCTGTTCGGTTTCTATGGGTCTCTATGGGTTTCTATGGGTCTCTATGGGGTTTCTATGGGTCTCTATGGGTCTCTATGGGGTCTCTATGGGTCTCTATGGGGTATCTATGGGTCCCTATGTGTCTCTATGAGGGCTCTATGGGTCCCTGTGTGTCTCTATGGGGTTTCTATGGGGTCTCTATGGGTCTCTATGGGTCCCTATGGGTCTCTATGGGTCTCTATGGGGTTTCTATGGGGTCTCTATGGGGTCTCTATGGGGTCTCTATGGGTCTCTATGGGTCTCTATGGGGTTTCTATGGGTCTCTATGTGTCTCTATGGGTCTCTATGGGTCTCTATGGGTCTCTATGGGGTCTCTATGGGTCTCTATGTGTCTCTATGGGGTCTCTATGGGTCTCTATGGGTCTCTATGGGGTTTCTATGGGGTCTCTATGGGGTTTCTATGGGGTCTCAGTGGGTCTCTATGGGTCTCTATGGGGTCTCTATGGGTCTCTATGGGTCTCTATGGGTCTCTATGGGTCTCTATGGGGTCTCTATGGGTCTCTATGGGTCTCTATGGGGTCTCTATGGGTCTCTATGGGTCTCTATGTGTCTCTATGGGTCTCTATGGGGTCTCTATGGGTCTCTATGGGTCTCTATGGGTCAATGACCCCCCCGTCCATCCCCCCCCAGCCCCAGCCCCACATCTTCCCCGCGGCCGCGCTGCTCGGGGACGTTCTGGTGCTGTTGGGGGGCCAGGGCCCCACGGGGGAGCCCTCGGATGCGCTGCAGCTCTATGGGGTGCGCTGCAACGTGTGGGTCACGGCCAACCGCACCCGTGAGTGCCAGGGGGCGCTGTGGGGCTGCGGTGCTATGGGGCAGTGTGGGGTGCTATGGGGTGCTATGGGGCTCAGTGTGGGGTGCTATGGGGCTCAGTGTGGGGTGCTATGGGGCTGAGTGTGGGGTGCTATGGGGCTGGGGATGGGGTGCTATGGGGCTCAGTGTGGGGTGCTATGGGGCTGGGGATGGGGTGCTATGGGGCACAGTGTGGGGTGCTATGGGGCACTGTGGGGCACCCTGGGTGCTGGGGGCTGATGGGGCTGGGTATGGGGTGCTATGGGGCTGGTGTAGGGTCTATGGGGGTGCTATGGGGCTGGGGATGGGGTGCTATGGGGCGCTGTGGGGCTATGGGGTGCTGGGGTGCTTTGGGGTGCTATGGGGCTGAGTGTGGGGTGCTATGGGGTGCTATGGGGCTGAGTGTGGGGTGCTATGGGGACTGAGTGTGGGGTGCTATGGGGCTGAGTGTGGGGTGCTATGGGGCGCTGTGGGGCTGGGTATGGGGCTCTATGGGGTGCTATGGGGCTCAGTGTGGGGTGCTATGGGGCGCTGTGGGGCTCAGTGTGGGGTGCTATGGGGTGCTATGGGGTGGAGTGTGGGGTGCTATGGGGCACTGTGGGGCGTGGCTATGGGGTGCTATGGGGAGGTGTGGGGTGCTATGGGGCTGAGTGTGGGGTGCTATAGTGTGGGGTGCTATGGGGCTGAGTGTGGGGTGCTATGGGTGCTATGGGGGGGGTGTGGGGTGCTATGGGGGCGCCCAGCGGGTGGGGTGCTATGGGGATGCCTAGGTGGGGTGCACCCATGGGGTGCTATGGGGCTGAGTGTGGGGTGCTATGGGTGCTATGGGGCTGGGGTTGGGGTCTATGGGGCGTGCAGCTGGGGGTGCTATGGGGCTGCTGTGTGGGGTGCTATGGGGCACCCATGGGTGCTATGGGGCTCAGTGTGGGGTGCTATGGGTGCTATGGGGGTTAGGGTTAGGGGTGCTATGGGGCTGCAGTGTGGGGTGCTATGGGGCACTGCTGGGGCTGGGGAGTGGGTGCTATGGGTGCTATGGGGCTGGGGAGGGGGTGCTATGGGGTGCTATGGGGCTGAGTGTGGGGTGCTATGGGGCTGAGTGTGGGGTGCTATGGGGCGCTGTGGGGCTGGGGAGGGGGTGCTATGGGGTGCTATGGGGCTGAGTGTGGGGTGGTATGGGGCACTGTGGGGCTGGGGATGGGGTGCTATGGGGTGCTATGGGGCTGAGTGTGGGGTGCTGTGGGGTGCTATGGGGCTGGGTATGGGGTGCTATGGGGCTGGTTGTGGGGTGCTATGGGGCTGGGTATGGGGCACTATGGGGTGCTATGGGGCTGAGTGTGGGGTGCTATGGGGCGCTATGGGGCTGGGTATGGGGCGCTATGGGGCTGGGTATGGGGTTCTATGGGGCGCTATGGGGCGCTATGGGGGTGGGTCTGGGGCTCTATGGGGTGCTATGGGGCTGGGTATGGGGTTCTATGGGGTTCTATGGGTGGCTATGGGGCTGGGTATGGGGTTCTATGGGTGGCTATGGGGCTGGGTATGGGGTTCTATGGGGCTCTATGGGGCGCTATGGGGCTGGGTATGGGGTTCTATGGGGCGCTATGGGGCGCTATGGGGTTCTATGGGGCTCTATGGGGCGCTATGGGGCTGGGTATGGGGTTCTATGGGGCTCTATGGGGTTCTATGGGGCTGGGTGGTGGCGGTCCCGGTACGGGTGGGGCTGGGGGGGGGGGGGTGGGGGTGTGTGAGGTGGGCGTGGCCTCGGCGCGGCGCTGACGTCATGGCGCAGGGCGCGCGCTGCGGGGGGGGCCGCTCCCGCATGCGCAGTGGCGCGCGGCGGCCGCCGCCAGGGGGCGCCTTTACGCGGGAGGCGGCTTCGACGGCACCGCCCTGGGGCGCTGGGGGGAGCTGAGGCTGCAGAGCGCCCCCTGCTGGACGGAGGAACGCGGCTGGGGGTGAGCGGGGGCGATGGGGGGCAATGGGGGGAAATGGGGGGGATGGGGGGCAATGGGGGGCAATGGGGGGAGGGGGGGGAATGGGGGGGAAATGGGGGTCAATGGGGGGATGGGGGGGTCAATGGGGGGGAGGGGGGCTAATGGGGGGCGATGGGGGGATGGGAATGGGCAATGGGGGGCAATGGGGGGCAATGGGGGGAAGGGGATGGGGGGAATGGGGGGGGGGGATGGGGTGGGGGATGGGGGGAATGGGGGTCAATAATGGAGGGGGATGGGAATGGGGGGAATGGTGGGCTAATGGGGGGATGGGGGAATGGGGGTCAATGGGGGGGATGGGAATGGGGGGCATGGGAATGGGGGGATGGGGGGCTAATGGGGGGGATGGGAATGGGGGGGATGGGGTGCTAAGGGGGGGCAATGGGGGGGATGGGAAGGGGGGATGGGGAATGTGGGTCAATGGGGGTAATGGGAAGGGGGGAAATGGGGTCAATGGGGGGATGGGGGGGCAAGGGGGGGATGGGGGAATGGGGAGATGGGGGGCAATGGTGGAATTGGGGATGAGGGAATGGGGGGCACAATGGGGGGATGGGAATGGGGGGAATGTGAATGGGGAGATGGGGGCAATGGGGGAATGGGGGGGTGGGGGGGTCAATGGGAATGGGGGGGATGGGGGTCAACGGGGGTCAATGGGGGGGATGGGAAGGGGGGATGGGGGTAAAGGTGAAGGGGGCAATGGGGGTCAATGGGGAAATGGGGGGCAATGGGGGCAAAGGTGACGGGGCAATGGCGGGGATGGGGGGAAGGGGGGATGGGGAATGGGGGGGATGGGGGTCAATGGGGGGCAATGGGGGGATGGGGTTAACAGGGCCAATGGGGGGGTCACAGGGGTGGGCGGGGCATGCAAATGAGATGCAAATGACCCCCTCCCCCAGGCTCGACTGTGACCCCACAGCCCCCTGTGACCCCTCCCCCCCCTGCGACCTGCGCCTGAGCTGCAGCGAATGTGTGGGGCAGCACCCGGCCGAGCCGGAGGGGGTCAGTGCCCCATAGAGACCCATAGAGACCCATAGGGACCCATAGGGACCCATAGAGACCCATAGGGACCCATAGAGACCCATAGAGACCCATAGAGACCCATAGAGACCCATAGAGACACATGGAGACCCATAGGGACCCATAGGGACCCATAGAGACCCATAGAGACCCATAGGGACCCATAGGGACACATAGAGACCCATAGAGACCCATAGAGACCCATAGGGACCCCATAGAGACACATAGAGACCCATAGAGACCCATAGAGACCCATAGAGACCCATAGAGACCCATAGAGACCCATAGAGAGCCATAGGGACCCATAGAGACCCATAGAGACCCATAGAGACCCATAGAGACCCCATAGAGACCCTTAGAGACCCATACTCCCCGCTGAGATCTCCCATAACCCTTCCTGCCCCACATATACCACATAGCATCTCCTGCCCCATAGATCCTCCATAGCTCCCGCCCCATAGATTTCCCACCCCATAGATCCCCCATAGCCCCTCCTGCCCCATAGAGAGCCCCTCCTGCCCCATAGATCCCTACATAGTTCCTGCCCTATAGATTCCCTATAGCCCCTCCTGCCCCATAGATCCCCCATAGCCCCTCCTGCCCCATAGATCCCCCTTGCCCCATAGATCCCCATAGCCCCTCCTCCCCCATAGCCCCATAGCTCTGCCCCATAACCCTTCCTGCCCCACATATACCACATAGCATCTCCTGCCCCATAGATCCTCCATAGCTCCCGCCCCATAGATTTCCCATAGCTCCTGCCCCATAGATCCCCCATAGCCCCTCCTGCCCCATAGATCCCCCATAGATCCCCCATAGCCCCTCCTGCCCCATAGATCCCCCATAGCTCCTGCCCCATAGATCCCCCATAGCCCCTCCTGCCCCCCCCATAGCCCCTCCTGCCCCATAGATCCTGCCCCATAGCCCCATAGCTCCTGCCCCATAGATCCCCCATAGATCCCCCATAGCTCCTGCCCCATAGATCCCCCATAGCTCCTGCCCCATAGATCCCCCATAGATCCCCCATAGCCCCTCCTGCCCCATAGATCCCCCATAGATCCCCCATAGCCCCTCCTGCCCCATAGATCCCCCATAGCTCCTGCCCCATAGATCCCCCATAGCTCCCCCTCCCCCATAGATCCCCCATAGCTCCTGCCCCATAGATCCCCTCCCCCATAGCCCCTCCTGCCCCATAGATCCCCCATAGCCCCTCCTGCCCCATAGATCCCCCATAGCCCCCCATAGATCCCCCATAGCTCCTGCCCCATAGCTCCCCCATAGATCCCCCATAGATCCTGCCCCCCCCTGCCCCATAGATCCCCCATAGATCCCCCATAGCTCCTGCCCCATAGATCCCCCATAGCTCCCCCATAGCCCCCTCAGGCCCCGCCTCAGGCCCCGCCTCCCCTCTGACCCCGCCCCCTCCCCCCCCCCCCCCCCCCAGGCCCCGCCCCTTTGCACGTGGTCCGACGGCCGCTGCGTCCCCTCTGGCTCCGCCCCCCCGCTCGACCCCGCCTCCTGCCCCGAGGTCACGTGCTCGGCCCCGGACTGCGTCACGTGCTCCGCCCGGCCCGGCTGCGTCTGGGCCCCGCCCCCCACGTCCGGTGAGCGCGGGGGGGCGGGGCTATGGGGGGGGCTCTATGGGGCTCTATGGGGGCTCTATGGGGCTCTATGGGGCTCTATGGGCTCTATGGGGCGCTATGGGGATCTATGGGCTCTATGGGTTCTATGGGGCGCTCTATGGGCTCTATGGGGTCTCTATGGCTTCTATGGGGCTCTATGGGCTCTATGGGGTCTCTATGGGTCTCTATGGGTCTCTATGGATCTCTATGTGGTCTCTATTTGTGTCTATGGGGTCTCTATGGGGTCTCTATGGGTCTCTATGGGGTGTTCATGGAGCTCTATGGGGTTCTATGGGGTCTCTATGGGGGTCTGTGGGGCTCTATGGGGCTCTATGGGGACTCTATGGGGACTCTATGGGGGCTCTATGGGTCTCTATGGGTCTCTATGGGTCCCTATGGGGTCTCTATGGGGTCTCTATGGGTCTCTATGGGTCTCTATGGGGTCTCTATGGGTCTCTATGGGTCTCTATGGGTCCCTATGGGGTCTCTATGGGTCTCTATGGGTCTCTATGGGGTCTCTATGGGTCTCTATGGGGTCTCTATGGGTCTCTATGGTTTCTCTATGGGTCCCTCCCCTCCCCCCAGCCCCCCCCTTGGCCGCGCTGGCTCCCGGCCCCTCCCCCACGTGGTCCTGCCTCAGCCTCGCTCTGGTGCCGGGGGCGGAGCCTGCGCCTTGCCCCGCCCCCTGCGGGACCCGCGGCTCCTGCGGCGCATGCGTGGGCGACGGGGGCGGGGCCTGCGCCTGGAGCCCCCTCCTGCGGCAGGTGAGGGGGGAGGGGGAGATGGGGGGGATGGGGGGGGATGGGGTGGCTATGGGGGGATATGGGGGGATATGGGGGGGTATGGGGGGGAGATGGGGTGGGGGATGGGGAGGTTATGGGGGATGGGGGGTGTATGGGGGCTTATGTGGGGGATATGGGGGGGAGATGGGGGGAGATGGGGGGCTATGGGGCGGTTATGGGGTGGGTATGGGGGGGTATGGGAGGGATATGGG